CCTTTGTGAATTAATTTTTCTTAATTAGTATCCTATTAGTACTCTAGCATGCTATATTGTGATAATTGTTCCTTAAAGTGACTTGATTGTATATATGAAATATGTGAGAAGGTGTATTTAATTGAATTATAATGTGTATTTAATTGAATTGTATGAAAATAATAATAATAATAATAAAATAAAATAAAATAAAATAAAAACATGCTTAATGTGTTAGTTTTTCATGCCAATTAATTTGTTAGAAATTTATGTGAAAATTTGTTAATTGTGTGTTAAAAATTCTCTCAATTTCCATATATGCACATAAGCATTGGGCATGAAAGGAAATGGAAAGTGTTTTGAAATGAAATTGAAAGAGAATTTTGGGGAGAATTTGATAAAATGGTTTTTTGAGAAAAACCTGGTTGCCGCGGAGTCACCAAAGGGCCGATGTGTTAATATAGCCTAGAGGGAACTAGGGAGATTGCCCTAGCGTGGTTGAGCTATCTGGGCCCCAAATGACACTACGGAGGTACCAAAGGTCAAGGATAGTAGCCAATCCTTTTCTCGTGTCGCTGCGGAGTCACCAAAGGGCGGGTTATATTAACAGTTTATGAAGTGATAACGTTTTTCTGAAAATGGGGAATGACATGCATAACATTGCATTTATGACATGAGATTTATTTGCTTTGAACCTAGAATTGATATTGTGTTTTTTCGGCTTTGCATGACCCTAAATTCTTATTGTCCTATTCTCTGTTTGGATTCACGGGGTTTCAAGAGGTGCGTCTTAGGCACTACTTACTGAGCAATTTTGCTCACTCCATATATTTAACATTTTTCATGAAACGGGAAAGAAATAGCGGATGACGTTATACCACAGACATAGTATGGATTAGGAGCTTATTTTGTTGTTTTTGTACTTGGGCCTCACTATTTTGTAAAACTAAGCATAATGTATTTTTTATGATGACATGGACATTTGATATAAATCCTGTATTTTAGGACTGTAATTATGATATCTGGATGATATAGTAGGTAGTTGTACCACCACGGAATGAACTAAGGCATGATGAATGGCTGAAAGGGATGCTGAAATGTATTATATGTTTATTATGTTGGGATAGGTTAAAAATGCTTTTAAACAGGTTGATGTAGGATGATTTTTAGTGGAGGTCATGCAAAATTTTTTTTTTTTTTAAAATTTTGGCATCAGTTAGGGTCGTTACACAAACCATTAGTGTAATCCAACCAAAAGCACCTCCAAGGCATCACGAAAGGAAGGTTGGTTAACTATCCACGACCACAAGGCACCTCCAAGGCGTCGCATCCGGCCTAATTAACTCAACTACATTCCCTTCTAGACTGCACCAACATCACAGACCATTAGGTGCCTCCTAGGCATCCGGTTTTCGCAATACTTTTAGAAAATATTTTTCCCAAAATAATTTTTGTTTGTTCTAACAAATATTTTTCCCCTTTTTTCTTTCCCAATGAATGCATGAATGCTTGTATTTCAATTTATCAATTCAACTATAATGTTCCCACATACTCTTTCAAATAAATTAATAAATTACTAAAAATAGACAACTCATATTCTCATTCCACATTTTACTAGTAATTTAAATCTACAATTCACAAATTTATTTCCATACTTATATCATAAATTTTCATAGCAATTGAAATCATGAAAACAATCCAACACTAAGCATGCTTCTTTACAAGTTAAAAATCATCATACTAATAAGCCTAATTAACACAGAACACACATTTATCACCATCAATATAAATAACTCTAATAAACATAATCACAAAAATTAAAATTAAGCATGCTTAAGGTCAAATTAAGGGGAAAAATTCACAAGAAATGCAAGAATTAGTGGATTAGAGCACTCCTACCTCAATAGAAGTGAAAACCCCCAAAATCCCCAAATCCAAGCCCTAATTTCAGAATCCCTAGGCTTAGCCAAATGGTGATTGGCTCCTATCAAATTGAAGGCCTCGACGAGCTCTCCGACTTTGCTTCACAAAGTTCTACCAAATTCCAATAGAGTAAGGCTAGATCAAAGCTTGAAAGTGCAAAAAGAAAGAAAAAAAAGAAACTGCCGAGAGAGACTGGACGCAGAGAGAGAGAGAGAGAAGAATAAATGGGTCTGTGTAATGACTCTTAAGTCATTTACATTGACTTATAACTCATGCGGGCCCCACAGGTAAGTAAATAAATATTTATTTAACTTTATATATATATAAACATTACATTTTCCCGAACTTTAAAAGATTTCGTCCCCGAAATCAAGCCATACCCGAGGAAGAAAACAACTCTAGATACTTGGAGCGAACCTCCTATTCGAGCTCCTGAGTAGCCTTCTCAACTCTGTGATGCCTCCAAAGAACCTTTACCAACGGTATCATTTTTTTCCTCAACACCTTCTGCTGTGTGTCAAGGATCTGAACTGGTCCCTCCTCGTAGGAAACATCCTCATCAATGTCAACCTCAACCCAACTCAAAACGTGAGATGGATCCGATTTGTACTTCCATAGCATCAATACATGAAAGACATTATGAACCCTGTTCATCTGTGGTGGCAATGCAAGTCTGTAGGCAACCTCTCCTACACGGTCCAAGATCTCAAAAGGTTTAATGAATCGTGGCGACAACTTGCCACTCTTCTCGAACCTCATCAACCCTTTCCGTGGTGAAACCCAAAGAAAACGTGGTCTCCCACCTCAAAGGATAGCGGTCGTCTTCGCCTATCTGTATAACTCTTCTGTCAGCTCTGAGCTGTAAGCAATCTCTGTCTGATCAGCTTAATCTTCTCGGTAGTCTCGAGTACAATGTCGGGTCCTAAGGCGGCTGTCTTACCCACCTCAGTCCAACAGACAAGAGACCTACAAGGTCTACCATACAATGCCTCAAATGGAGCCATCTGAAAACTCACCTGATAACTGTTGTTGTAGGCAAACTGAATAAGTAGAAGGTGATCCTCCCAACTACCACCCAAGTCAAGTACATAGGACTGAAGCATATCCTCTAAGATCTGGATGGTACGCTCTGACTGGCCATCCGTCTGCAGATGGAATGCCTTACTAAGGTGCAACGCTGAGCCAAACGTTGTTTGAAGTCCTTCTCAGAATTTCAAGGTGAACTTGGCATCCTTATCTGAAACAATAGCCACTGGAACTCCGTGCAATCTTACAATCTATTTCATATAAAGCATACCAAGCGCCTCTGTATCATCTGTTACCTTAATAGGCAAGAAATGAGCTGTCTTGGTCAATCTATCAATAATGACCCATACAGCTTCATTTCTCCTTCGTAACCTAGGAAGACTTGTCACAAAATCCATGGCAATCTCCTCCTATTTCCACTGCACTACCGACAATGGCTATAATAAACTAGCTGGTCTCTGATGCTCGGCCTTCACCTGCTGGCAGGTAAGGCACTTAGCCACAAACTGTGTAACGTCCTTCTTCATTCCATTCCACCAATACTGGCGTCTCAGATTGTGATACATTTTGGTACCACCTGGATGAACTGCAAAGTAAGAAGTGTGAAACTCCCGTAAGACTTCTTCACGACAAACTGTGGGAACTACCAACAAACCCCTGAACCGTAGACCTCTATCTGCATGTAAGGTCCAATCCTTCACGGTCTCATCACTGGAGATCAAGGTGTAAATGGCATCCAAATCTGAATCTTGTCTCTATGACTCAATCACCCGTCTGACAAGAGTGGGTTGAGCCACAAGACTAAACAAGAATGCTAACTCATTGCCATTATCATTATCATTATCCCATTTTGGCCAAATCTTCAAGCATCTTTCACTTTTGAATGGCTAAACTAGCCAAAGTCCCACGAGATTTTTGACTTAAAGTATCAGCTACAACATTTGCCTTGCCAGGATGATATTGCAAATCAAAGTTGTAGTCTTCCAAAAACTCAACCCATCGCCTCTGTTTGTTGTTCAAGTCCTTTTGGGAGAAAAGGTACTTGAGACTCTTATAGTCTGAGAACACCTCAAATCTCTCATCATATAGATAGTGTCTCCAACACTTCAAGGCAAACACGACTGCCGCTAGCTCCAAGTCATGAGTAGGGTAGTTATGCTCATGAGTCTTCAACTGTCGATACCCATAAGCCACTACTACTCTACCATCCTGCATCAGTACACCACCCAAACCATCATGTGAGGTGTCACAATAAATCACATAATCCAAGCCACGCTCGGGTATCACCAATACTGGAGCCGTTGTCAACCTTATTTTCAACTCTTGAAAGGATGACTCACATGCCTCATTCCATGCAAACTTCTGGTTATAGGAGCTACCAAACGGGAAAAATCCTTCACGAATCTCTGATAATAACCCACTAAACCAAGGAAACTCTAAACCTCAAAGACATTCTTGGGTTGCTTCCAATTCAAAACTGCCTCTATCTTTGAAGGATCAACTAAAACCCCACATTCCGAGATAACATGTCCCAAAAATTTCACCTCTTGTAGCCAAAACTCACACTTTTCATATTTGGCATACAAACGGTGCTCCTGTAGAATCTGTAACACTGTACTCAAATGGACCTCGTGCTCCTCCCGAGTCCGTGAATACACAAGAATATCATCCACGAAAACTACCACGAACTAATCTAAGTAATCGTGGAAGACACGGTTCATTAGATCCATGAATGCCGTCGGCGCATTAGTTAAACCAAAAGGCATAACAAGAAACTCATAATGTCCATACCACATACGGAAAGCGATTTTTGGAATATCCTCCTCTCTAACCCGTAACTGATAATAGCCTGACCTCAAGTCAATCTTCGAAAAACAATTAGCTCCCCTCAACTGATCAAATAAATCATTTATCCTTGGCAAATGATATTTGTTCTTGATGGTGGTATGATTCAACTTTCAGTAATCAATGCACAACCTCAAAGAACCATCTTTCTTCTTAGCGAACAAGACTGGTGCACCCTACGGCGACACACTCGGTCGGATGAAACCTTTCATCCTCAATTCATTAAGCTATTTCTTTAATTCTTCTAATTCAATTGGTGCCATACGATATGGTTCCATAGAGATTGGCACGATACCAGGCATCAAATCAATAGCTAATTCCACCTCTCGGTGTGGAGGAAACTCTGTCAAGTCCTCCGGAAACATATCCAAAAAATCGCGCACCACCGCTGGATAATCAACCCCATAAAACTCAACGTCATCATCGGCGAAAAGGCTGGCCAAGAAGAACGTCTGCCGATCTCGACTCCTAACACCATAGAATGAATGAGTGAGAGGATCACACCGATCTCCCACAAAACAGAAACAATCCTCATCTGGGGTACACACTGAAACTCTGCTCCTGAAACAATCAATAACAACTCTAAAGGACGACAACCAGTCCATCCCAAGAATGATGTCAAATCCTGTCATCTCGAGAAGGATGAGATCGAACTCAGGAACACGTCCGGGAATCATGATGGAACAACTCCTACAAACTCTACTAAGAGCAACTGAACCTCCGATAGGCGTGTCAACACAAAGCGGTCTGTCTAACTGACTGACCTCCAAACCCAATGCCCGTGCAAATGATGAAGTAATGTGTAACGACCCAGCTCCTCATGGATCCGGATAATTAAACGGGTCCTTACCCGACCCAAAATCATCCGAGGGTAAAACGGTCATTTCACATTAAATTTAATTATCAAAGTCCGAAAAGGGCAAAATGGTAACTTGCCATATTTCAATAAATTAAGATTCAAGGGACCTAATAGTAATTTGCTTATACCATATGATAAATAAAATGAGATTCGGGGCATAAAAGTATTTTTGGTGGTCAAAACATAATTATTTCATTTTATTGGGTCATAAAATAATTACGTGCAACTTCAAATGGATGCCAAAGTGTAATTTGAGAATTTAAAATAGTAATTACATACAAAAGACAGAACCGGTCGACGTATATACACTATACGTCGACTGGTTTGGGCTATGAATAGTGGGAAAACCCACTGCCAAGATACCGGTCGACGTGTGGGAAGATACACGTCGACTGGTTTAGGACGTGATACCGGTAGACGTGTGGGATGCCATACGTCGACTGGTTTGGAACGTATACAAGATTACCACACGGTAAGATACCGGTCGACGTATGGGGGCCATACGTCGACTGGTTTGGGTCATTTATGTTCAAAATGCTTACTGTCAGGATACCGGTCAACGTATGGGATGCCACACGTCGACTGGTTTGGGTTATCTAGACTCGGTTGCCACTGTCCAAAGAAAAACCAAACACTTGATGCTCAACCACCCATGCCATTATACTTACGTACATAAATTAAGATATGCTTCAACATTAAATTGTAATAACAACCACCACACTGATAACGTAATTTACAACACGTTACTTAAAATACACAAAACTGATTTTGAGTGAGTAATACTTAATTACATTTTCTCAAGGATTATTCATAAACTTAATTACATTCCCAAAACTATAATTACACATGAAATAGCTAAAAACTAGATAGCAAAAATCATCTTCTAAAGACTTTCAAGCTTGTAGAGGATTTTCATCCGCCATTTCCTTGCCATGACCTGAAAAAAATTATAAGTATGGTGGGGTGAACAATTTGCTCAGTAGGTGACGCCTAAGACGCACCTCATGAGACCTCGTGAATCCAAAACAAAGAATAGGCCAATAGGAGTCGGGGTCATACAACATAAGGGAGAATACCGCATGGTTATCAATCTCAACACAATTACTAAGATGCAATGGAGATGCAATGCATGCCAATGTCGCTCCCCATTTTCACAATTCAATCATCGCTTTCAAATTGTTAATGTAACCCCCTTTGGTGACTCCGCAGTGCCGAGAGAAGGATTGACTACTGTCCCTGACCTTTGGTGACTCCGCAGCGTCATTATGGGGCCCAGATAGCTCAACCACGCTAGGGCAATCTCTTTAGTTCCCTCTAGGTTACATTAACCTACCGGCCCGTTGGTGACTCCGCAGCGACCGGGTTTTCCAAAACACTTTCATCAAAATATTCTTTCCCAAAACTCCTCATTTTCATTTCAAAAACAATTTCTTCCCTTCATGCAACCCAATGGTGTACATGCATGTCTCATGATCTCAATACTATGAAAATGAGGAATTTGACACAACACAAGTAAGCATGTTCTCACACTTATAATATTTAAACAATAATGGATTATCACAAAATACAATAGGGCATGCTTTTATACACTATTCATAGCATGTGAACAATACAATAGGCATAACTTACAATATAAGCATGATTTTCAAATAGTGCAATCAAGACAAGTCTTCACATATTCATATATATACATTCAAGACATTTTTAGGCTACAATTAACACAAATAAGCATGCTATAACACAATTCAAATAGAATAACTCACAAAGGTGCATGAATAATGTGAATTAGGAAGCCTCTACCTCTTAAAATACAAAAACCCTCAAAATGGATCATGATTTTCGGACTCCTTAGGTTGCACAAAAACTAAAATTGTTGGTACCTATGCGTAGAGCTCGCCGTGCTCTCCGTTTTGCCGCAAATGGCACTCCAAAATACCAAGTGTTGAAGAAGTTATCAAGCCTCAAAGATTGGAGCCAAAACAAAAGAAAAATGAAATGGAAATGGAAGGGAAAAAGAGAGCTACGGGAGAATGAGAGTTAAGAGACCAAAAATGTGGTCTCTAGACAAGGAATGGGTTAGTGGTGGGTCCCGCCACTATCTCTTTTTTTTTTTTTTTTTTACACCACATACACACACAAGTGCACCACATGCAAATACTACTTAATCCATATAATTTAAAATGTACACAATACAAATGGACCCAACCACAATCCCGTACACATAACGTGAAAAGACGAAAATGCCTTTGCGGCGACAAAATTCCAGAAAAATAAAAATGGTAAAAATTGGAAACATCACATAATGAATGAATAAAAAGCATCGGAATCAAATAACACACGAGCCCAAGAATGGGACATATGAAACATACCCCTGATAACTGAAGGACTGGATAATGGCTCGGCTGGAGTGAATGCAAACACGTGACCTTAGGTCCTCTGCCCCTGAGAACCGCCTGCTTGATAACTAGACTACTGAGTGGGTGCACTCGAAGAAACTACCCTACCCGGTCGAGGACTCTGGGCTGACATGGCTTGCTAAGACGGCTGAGATGGTGGTGGCGGTCGAAACCCTGACTGAACTGTGGCAGACTGCATCTGCCTTTGCTGTGAACCTTTACCTCTGCCTAAACCACTGCCCCGCTGTGGACAATCTTTCACCCTATGGCCTTGCTAGCCACAGCCGAAACATCCACCAGACGCCACCTGAATCTGAGTACACTGAGACTTGTGATGCCCTGACTGCCCACACTTGAAACAAATCACCTGAGTTACCTGAGTTTGAGTGCATTAGGACTTGTAATGTCCCAGCTGCCCATATCTAAAACAAGTAACATTCGGTCTAGAAGACCCCATTGACACTGAAGCTGTGGGTACGGATCTGACTAGCTGCTGTCCCCTGAACCCTGATTGCTCATGTTTCTACTTCTTACTTGATTGTCCCTTGGAGAAAGCACTCATACCATTGTTGTGCTTGTAAGACTCCCTGATAGCCTTACTGTCTCTACTTTCAGCTTCAACTACTAAGGCTTTTCGTACTGCTTTTGCATACTCTGTCGGTTCTGAAGCAGCTACAATTGGCCTAATGGTAAGATCAAGGCCATCAACAAATTTCTCTATCTTTCCTTCCTCATCATTAGCAATCCTAGGTGCAAACCTCAAAAGTGACGTAAACTTGTTCTCATATTTTGTAACTGTCATGTTTCCTTGCTTCAACCCATCAAACTCCTTCTTTAGCTCCCTCCGCTTAGGCGCCGAAAAGTACTTCTCATAGTACAACTTCTTGAAAGTATCATATGTCATAGTATCCAAATCGTGCATGTGTGAAACAGTCTTCCACCATATCTCAGCATCACCAATAAAATTGTAAGTCGCCAATGTGATCTTCAACTTGTCCGTTGCCAAATTCATGGCATTAATATGCTTCTCCACCCTATCCATGAAACTATCCGCAATAAGTGGATCTGGGCCTCCCTTAAACAAAGTTGGCATCAATTTCACAAACTTTGCAATGTGGTAAAGAGGATCATCTACCTCATTTGTCTTTGGAGGTGGTAGTGGTGGTGGCACAAACTGTGACGATGACGCACCTGCCGGCCGATATGCATCAAAAAGAGCCACCTGAACGGCTAACCTCAACTGCTCCCTATTTATTTGAAAAGGTGGATCAACAGTCCCCCTCGCTTGTCCCCTTCTTGGTGGGACCAAATCATGCAACAAGATATCTTCCTCAACTTGCTCCTGATCCCTTTCCATGGGATTAAAGCTAGAACTTTCCCTGGGATCTCTTCGTGTTGCCATGACGCTATAAGAAAAAGAAAATGGATCAATAACGATGACACTAAAATACGCACGAGAATATAGACCTCACTCGAATGACTTGACAAGAATAGAAACACATAAGCACCTTCCATACTCCCAGAATACCCAACTAATGATAAACATGATCATGCTAATAATATACAATAACACTAAGCACTTAACACGTAATCATAGAAGCAATTAAACAATTAAGCATGCCTTTGAAATAATTAAGCACCTTAACACATAAACATATAAACATGCCAGTACGTAAACAATTAAGCAAGTAAACAAATAACTCAACTCCTCATGCAATCCTAGGTAGGCCTCTACCCGTCGTCCAAATAGTATTCTAACCATGACTCTGATACCAATTTTGTAATGACCCGAAAAGATACCAAAATGATAATAATAAAATCTATAAAAATTTCTGCATGACCTCTACAGAAGAAGTCCCTCTACAACTTGTTGAAATACAAAAAAAAAAGATGTAATGGCCTCACCGGGCCTTAAAAATAACCTATCCTATCCAAACGCACAATACATATATTATATTACATTCCCAAGATGGGTTACATACATGTGAAATGTCCCCTTCCTCCACCTCATCTAAACAAGGAGTACACTTTAGTTACATCAAGTTACAGTCCATAAAATTAAATAGTCCACAGCTTACAACATTATACTAATTAAACTAAAGTTTCACAAAATAGTTAATATTACATTTACAAAATACTAGAGTCTAATACAAAAGATAACAAAATAAAATGAGTCTCCAAGCTCATTTAAACCTGTGGTGGATCGTCGTCCTCTACCCCTTTTTCGTGTCCAGAAAAAATGTTAAAAAAATAATGGGGTGAGCATAAGCTCAGTAAGAAGTGTCTAAGACACACTTCTTATATCCTCGTGAATTTCACACAAAGAATGGGCAAAAAGGAACGGTGTCATACCATGAGGAAAATATAATCTCAACCACAGCAACAAGAATCTAGCAAATGTCAACAAATCACAAAATTTTTC